GCTGAGGTGGAAGGATCACTGGAGCCCAGCAGGTCAAGGCTGCGGTGGCCAGGAGTGGCCACTGCACTCCAGTCTGGGCGACAGAGTGAGACTCCAACTCAAAAAAAAATAAAAAATTTTAAAAAGCATGAGGGGCAGGGCGTGGTGGCTCAAGCCTGTAATCACAGCACTTTGGCAGGTGGGGGTGAAGTGATTACCTAAGCCCACGGAGTCAAGACCAGCCTAGGCAACTTGGCAAGACCTCATCTCTACAATAAATCAAAAAATTAGCGAGGCGTGGTAGCGCGCACTTGTAGTCCCGGCGACTTGGAAGGCTGAGATGGAAGAATCGCCTGAGCCCAGCAGGTTGATGATGGGGTGGCTGGGAGAATGCCACTGCACTCCAGCCTGGGTGACAAAGTGAGACTCCACCTCAGAAAAAGAAGAAAGAAAGCATGAGGGTATGTGGAAGGAGCACAGTGTTACACAGTCTCTGGGGGCTGGAAACTGTCTATTGCACCAATATTTTCAGTCAGTGTGTTCTGAACAGCACTGTTAGGGACACAGCCAGCTCCAACTCCAGCCATGCGGAGGTCTTGATAGTGCTGGAAAACCAGGAACTTAACTTTTAAAAAGTAGAATTCCAGTAAGCTTATTGTAAATCTCTCTACATGTGATATGAGTCACACTGAGGACAATTTATACACTTGGCTGTCTCCTACGCCTGCTATGTTTTGTACCTTCTCACAACTGTCTAAAATGGGCTTCACAAATCTCAATGACCACAGCAACAAGTTGCCCTATGGTTTGGATGGGCAAAAGCTATCACTGTTGGAAGACAGCTGGGATGCAAGAAAGTCCTTGCCCTGACACTTATTGAGCACTCACTGTATGCCAGGCTCCATTTTAAGGCTGTCACGCACATTAATTCTTTTATTCCTGACGGAGATGTCTGTTGCTCCTGGTAAGGAATAGGGCACAGTCAGATTCAAACTCACAAGAGAACTCCCTCTCTGCTCAACTCATGAGCCCGCCAAGGCCAAGGATTTGTTTGCTAGTTCATGAATTCAGCTTCCTTGGCCCACAGACAGGCTCTGCTACACAGGCCCCAAAAAGTAAGGGATTGTAGGCCCACACCATGTACTTCATAGAGTTCCCTTAATTAACATCTGATTCCTTTGTTTGAGGAGGATTCCTGGTTCTGTGTTTCTATTTTCTCTTCTCAAAAAGGAGGACTTTATTATTTTGTTTACACGAGTAACAGGGATTCTTGGGCCACACAGCCCTGTGTCTCCATCTGACTCTTTAGACAGAGTCCTGGAATTTCAGAGTTAAAGGGCATCTGGAAGATGAATACAACGGAGGGGCAACTTACAGATAAAACACAACTAGTAGCCAGGCACGGTGGCTCAAACCTGTAATCCCAGCACTTTGGGAGACCAAGATGGGAGGATTGCTGGAACCCAGGAGTTCAAGACCATCCTGGGCAATATAGTGAGCCCTCATCTGTATCAAAAAATAAAAAAAATAGGCAGGCATGGTGGCACACACCTGTAGTCCTAGCTACTCACTCAGGAGGCTGAGGCTGGAGGATTGCCTGAGCCCGGAGGATTGCCTGAGCCCAGGAGGTTGAGGCTGTGGTGAGCCGTGATCATGCCACTGAATTCCAGCCTGGGCGACAGAGTGAGGCCCTGATTCAAAAACCAAACCAAAAAAAGTGATCAGCAGCAGCTTTGGCAACTCAAGCCACAGAGACCCAGAGATAAAAAACTTGTTTTAAAATGCTGAAAGGTGGAGTTATTCTCTTTAAAACAGAAAAGGGTAGATTGCCTGAGCCCATGGGTTTGAGACCCGCCTGAGCAACTTGGCGAGACCTTATCTCTACAATAAATCAAAAATTAGCCGGGTGTGGTAGCGCACGACTGTAGTTCCAGCTACTTGGAAGGCTGAGGCAGAAGGATCGCTGGAGCCCAGCAAGTCGAGGCTGCAGTGGCC